AGAAAACTGCAAAGATGAAACTGTCCTGCAGTGGCTGAGAGAAAATTCAGAGTCTGGCACCTTCAGAAAACTCTCAGACATGTTTGATTTCCTGAAAAGTAAAATTGATGAGGAAGAAAAGAAGAACCACGATGACACTGTTGACATAATCTTTGTGGCACATGGAGCAATCAGAGACTCCATGATCCCAGCCAGCTGTTTGCTGCCTCTGCCCACCATCACTGACCTGGTCCTGTACTCTCCCTGGAACTGTGCCACCACTGGTGATGTAACCTATGGCATTGCAACAGGAAAAATGAGGCCAGAGCACAGAGTTTTTTACCGTAATCTTCCAATAACGTGTATTAATCAACCCCCGAATCTGCCAAACTACTGGAACTCACTGAAGAAAGCCAGAGGACAGAGGATCCCAAACATCATTGTGAGCCCTCTGCAGGAAGATGATGGCGTGTGGGAAAGATTTAAGTCTCTCTCAACAAAATATGGTCCACCAGGACGAAACCGCATCATCATCCCGTTCATCCTCCCAGGAGAGAGAGAAAGTGTCCCGTTCTCTGTCGTTGCCTTGGCTCTGTCCCTGGTGCTCCTCTCTTCCAGGTTTAAAGCCACCGTTCACTTTAATGCCTGTCTGAGTGATAAGTCTACAGGACAGAAATCTGACAGGAAGTATCTGCAGGAGCAGTACTACTGCACTGAAGACAAAACTGGGATGACATGTTCACCAGATGCATTCAGTGTGAACCGGTTGGATCGTTTTAAGAGTCTGTTTAGTTAAATACACTCAATCGACATCTTTTCTGTGTTAAATGTTTTAAAACTGTTTCAGAAACATTAAACCACAAAAACAGTTTCATCGTTTGTTTGAAAAAAGAAACCCACACAGGACTCATGATAGAACATATGTTTGAGTTTAATTGCAATCACAGATGTTTCCAGTAGTTCAAAGTATCTTTCTGTCTCTCAGCCAGTTTCTCTTCTTTAATTATTACATGAATCAGTCTCCAGATTTTTGTGCACTTTAAGCTGTTTGTGTTGTTGCTGCTTTTCCTCAGAGCTCAGGCTGGACTTCAGTGTACTGACTGTCTTATACTTTATCCTGACAGAAAAGAGTACACAGCACTTTATTGTCTAGTTTAGCTCCACACTGACATGGAGGTAAACCTGCAAACAGCTGAGCAGACAAAGACACACTGTGTGTAAACTCTGCCTCTCTGTGTAACTTAAACACCTGAATGTATCTGTTTTATTTATGATGAAATCAAACTACATTTTGGATTCTTGTATTATTTGTACTTTCTTGACTTCTTATATCAATGTAGTTTAAACCATAATGACTTTAAATCATTGCTGGGACTGCTCTTTATGGAGGTCACAGGTGGAAGTGAGTTTCAATCAGCAGGCATTATGAAAATGAATGAACTGCGAAAATGAAGCAGAAAGGAAACTTAAATTAAGTTAAATCAAAGAGCACTTTATCTGCAGAAGCATCGACTCATCTGCTTCTCTGTGACATTTAGAGATTATATACAAAACACAAAGGTAATAAGAAATAGACAAACTGAATGTCCATTATGTGTGTACCTTTACAGATATACTGTCATGTTTTTTTAAAATATATATATATTAATTTTCCTCTTTATCCAACAAAGTTGACTCTGTTCATCTGGTTGCAGCATTTTCAGTGTGAGAAAATTTCCCTCCTTGAAGTGACTTCTTCATCCTTATAAACAGTGCAGCTGCATAGTGACTGAAACCAGCACCACACTGAGCCAGTTTTATAAATGTGAAAAATGGGAGTGGACATCCCTAAGATGAGAATCCCATCAGCTTACACTGCTGTTTATAACTCATGGTCTCTCATCAATAGTCATAGCAGCTTGCATATTAACGATCAAATGAACAGAATCAACTTTATGGAATTTGCGCACCTGGATTATTGAGCATGCATCTCTTAGTAGTTTCAAAGGACAAAAACATTGAAAGTTATAAAGAGTAAAATGAAAATGTTGAATAGAATGAAAGTAATAAAACAAAGATGAAAGAGAGGAAGAAAATGGTTTGTGTTCCTGTGTCCTGACTGGTTGTAACACACAGGTGTATATGAATGTTTACAATAACAATAAATCAGAAAAAGATAAACAGTGATGTAAATCAGATGATTTATGGGAAGCAGGACTTACTGATGCGCTTTAGACCATAGCGTAAAACTCAGTTACAAACTTGTGTTTGTGTATAGATGTGTATATAGATATATAGACAGATTGATGATTTTGCTGTTATTTTTATTTCATCACAAAGTTTTTATTTATATCCAGTGATCTTCAACTCATGTCAGATGGTTCAAATACTACTGTTAGATCAAAGCTGCTGGTATTTTACAGAAACACACTTTAGTGCAGGTACTTGTACTTTTAGTGGTGACTGTGACCAGTGTGACTCCAAACTTATCATAGTTTCATGACAATCTTTACCTGAACGTAAACAATCAGCTAGGAAAGTGAAAGTAAACAACAAGTGAAACAAAACTAAACAGTGAATGAAACAGAGCAGGAACACATTCTCCAGAGAAAAGGGGAATAAAAACAGTATAATCATGTCACCATAGTGTCTCTACAACTTTACAAAGTCAGACTGCAGTTCAGTACTCATGAACGCCTGAGTGTTCACTCTCATAGTCTTCGTGC